GGGGGTAATAGGCTCAGGGGGGAAGGCATCGACTCCCAATGGCCCGCTGATCGCCGATAGGGGCCCGATAGCCCCAACCCGCCCAGGACCGTGTAAATTCGCAATCGGGGCCATACCGCCGATTGTTCTGTCATGTATCGCCGATTCCAGGTCGATGTTTCCCCCTCCGTGCCGGTCCCCGGTCCCCCCCCGATGAGGGAATTGGAAGAGCATCAGTGGAACAAGTATGGAGGGCACCAGGGAAACTTACAGGGGGCCGGGATTAGCCTGGCCACCTCACCAACTCTAGCAATTGTGGGTCCTATGGCGGTCTCTCTTGGGACCCTCTCGGGGCTGTCTTTGGACTTTCTATTTACAATACATAACCACCCTCGTGGCCACCCAGTGTAGTTTAATGGCTCAAAAATGGCGCATCACGGAGGCAGATACTATGACGAGACCCCACGGCACTAAAGCTGCAAGCTCAGCCCTCATCAGGGCATGCCTCAGTTGAGCCTCCGTGATCTGGCCGGCCAGGGTCCAGACTGGACAGGGACGTGCCGACACGGGATACTTACAACACATCGGCCGGGATCGTTGCAGGAGTCGTTGTAGTGTTGGAGCCGTTCTAGTGGCGGGGCCATCACCACGGGACAAGTCATGTATGTTGACAACATACATAAATCGTCCCCAAAGTGGACTTGTGCAATGATGTTGTATTTGTTTTTCATCCGTGGCTGAAGAAAATATATTTTTCCCCAACATATTCGGTTTCTTGTTGTTCAGAAGGTGTTGTGTGGCCGACCCGCTCCGATGTTGGGCATTCGGCGTGCGGCTTGCGCGCGCTGTCGGCTCGACGCGTCATTTGAGCGGTGTCGCCCCCGGCCTGTTTCCACCTCATCTCTTTGCTACTTCTTTCTTTTAAGGTCAGAAACGCGTTTTCGGTTATCGTCGCAGCTCGCGGTGGCCTCTTCGGGGGTCTTGCACGCGTCGTGGGCCGTCTGGAAGCCATCCTGGGTGTCATGGGCCGATCGTTCGACGACTCGGAGCCCTCTTGGACCGTCTTGGGCGCCTCCTGGGGCCCTCTTGGATCGCTTTGGGGCGCCTGACAGCCGCGCCCAGGAGGAAAACCATCTCTGGCCCGACCTGGCCAGGGTACTTTGCGTCCGGCGAGCCCTAGGGGCCACCCCGCGCGCGCGAAGTGGAACTGCTGTGGGACAGTCGCTGGAGATTTTCGCTCGCCTCTGGCCGCTGGGCCGGCAATTTCCCCCGAGAAGCATGTCCAGTGTGCTTTGAGGCGCGCGACGAGCGGGCGCACCAATTTCACCGACTCCTTCTCTCCTCGCCTCCTGCTGCAATTTCCTCTTTGTTCCTCTTCCCGCTGCTGCTGCTGCTGCTGGCCCTCCTGCTGCTGCTGCCGTTCCATTCGGCTTCTCTCTTCCTTACCGTCACTGATGTTCCGCGGGCACGCCTGCTTGGCATGCCGGCGCACCGGGCAGGCCCACGATTTTGCGCCCTCTATTTCGGCCACGATTTCGCCCGCGATTTCGCATACGATTTTCGCCCACGATTTCGGGTGCGATGTTGCCCATGATTTTCGGGCACGATTCCGCACCCCCCTGTAAGGCATCACGAAACCACCCACGATTTGAACATTTTTTTTCTTGCGGTCAAAAATGTGCGTTTCCGCGGAAGGGGTGACAAAACAAATGGGCAACAAGGGGGCCAACAAAGTATGCAAAATCGTGGCCAGACGGGGGTGTGGAGGAGGGCGCCGCGGAAAGTCGGCGGGGGGTGGGGCCAGGGGCTTCCCGGTGACCCCCGCCCAGTTGGAGAGGATGCCCTCGTGGCGGGCTGCGCTGCCTCGCGCGGCGGGTTCGCGATTGCGCCGCAGCGCCCGCGGCCGCTGAGGCTTCGAAACCAACGTTGGCCGTCGGGCCCCTCTTCTCCGCCGCCAGCTCAGCCGCGCGCCAAGGCTCCGAAGGGGAGCAGCGGGCCTTCGCCGCAGTTGCGGCAGAGTCCGCGCCAGCGGCCCCCGCGCCCGCGGTAGGCTCCACGAAAGCCACCCCCCAGTTCCGGAGTTTGTTCGGCTTGCGCGGGCATGAGATCCAATGGCCTCCGTCATCCCGCCAATTCCCCATGTGGCGTTCGCGCATGCGCGTTTCTTGTTCACGCGGGGCCTCCAAAGTGGCCCTTTTTTGTGGTCCGTCGGTCCCACGCTGGCGCGTTCCATCTTAGATCAGCTTGTGAGTTGGTTTCTCCCGCGCAAGCTATCGGCCACGCGGCCTGGACAGCGCCCGGCACGTCAGCGGGTGCGAGCGCGCGCCGATTCCGTCAGCACATCGACGGCTGCGCGCTTCGAGGTTCGCGCGGACTTTATGTCCGACGACCGCGGCGGTGAGTCCCATAGCGGTCACATGACGGCCTGGCTTGGGGGCCGCGTTGGTCGCGCCTCCGTGGCGCGCCGGGCGCGATTCAATGGCGGGGGCAGGCAGCGCGCGGCCATTCGAGAACGCGCGGACGTTCCGCGATGCTGAAAACAACGCGTCTAACATTTTACCACGTCGAAATCGGTGTGGTTCCTTGGGGAAGGGGGGGGGTTTGCGCGGCAGCAACTCTTGCGTTTTGCATCTGAGTACAGGAAGAGTCATGTTGCAAGGGCGCGTAGAAGGGACGGAAAAGAGGTGTTTGGCGCACGGCGCTTCAATAATGATATGTGTAGTAGCCACAATTTCGCACTTTGCGCAAGTTTGGAGCTACAACGCAATATCATGTTCGAAAGATCAACACCCAGTGCTCAATGAAAGCGCACGCATGCCCACCCGAATGTGTTCGTCGATGCGGAACTGTCTCAGCGTGAAAACAATGTCGGAAGAAAACCAACGACATCATAATCACATGCTTTGCCTTCATCAGGGCACGCCTCAGCTGTGCTTACGTGTTCTGGCCGACAAGTGGTCAGACCAGTCAGGGACGTGTCGACACATGATATGTTCAACATATCGGTCGGGATTTTTTGCAAGAGTCGTTGTAGTGCTGGAGCCACTGTAATGACCCGGTCGTCGCCACGGGACGATTGATGTAGGGTGACTAATGGGGGGTCATGCTGAGAACGTGCAGGTTATGGACATCGAAGGAACACTTGCGCACGACGCTTCCGCAGTGCTACAAACCGTCCGCCGCATCACCTGGACTTGCGCGAGTTGGAAACTACAACGCAATGTCCGGTTCGAAAGGTCACCTCCCATATTGCCCTGCCCAAGCTTACAATGCCCACCGATGCAGTTGATCTACATGGGAATTTTGCAACACGTGGACAACATAAGCACAGAACCCACGACATTACAATTATACGCTCGGCTTCTCATCAAGGCGCGCCTTAGCTGAGCCTCCGTGGTTCGTCCGACCAGCGGCCAGGATGGTCAAGGACGTGCCGACACGGGATATTTACAGCAGCGTGTCGGTCGAGATTGTTGCAGGCACCGTCGTAGTGCAAGGGCATAGTGGCTCTTCTCGGGCAGCTGTTGGGGCTTCTTCGGGACCTTGTGGAGCCCTTTTTGCAATGTACTCCCCCCTTGGGATGGGAGAGCTTACCTCTTGGCCTAATGTCTGGTTTCGCTCGAGCTGTTCCCTGCGGCCAGCGATTTTCTCTTGGAGCTCTTCGGGTTCCGTTCTTGGGGCTGGTTTGAACCGTCTCGGGGCCATTTTGACTTTGCCGATGCCCCACTGGCAGCCAGCCGCGGCGAGAAGGCGAACGGCGTTCAAAGTGTTTCGGTTCTGGGACGGCTTGTGCTTCTTTGGGGGGTGTTCGTCGGAGGCGCGGGGGCCACTTCGGAACCTCCTGGTGGCACCGATGAACTGTGCAATGCGGACATCCTGGGTTATCGGGGGCCCTCTTTGAGCATCGGTAAACCTACCCCCGTCTCCATGGGCGTGGCCTGGGCCCCACTGGCCGATTTGTCCCCCCCTCCCCAGGTGGGTATATCGGCAGTTCCCTCGCGTTCCGAGGGGGTGATCCCCCATCTGCGCGTCTGAGGTTTTGGGGGTCTGGATAGGCATGGAGATGGGGATAGGGGATATGTATTGGGGTCGGTTAAACGATCCTGATTCTTGGAGCCCTGCTTGCTTCTTCGGTGGGGCGGCGGTGACATGCCGTCGTGGACGCTCTGACTGCTCGCGACCCCCTCCCCTCTCCAGACCCCCTGGCACTGTGCAAGTGGAAGCGGTAGATCCCCCCCCAAGAGGGGCGAGGGGGGGCGTTTTCGTCGGAGAGCTGACCAGCTGAACCCGCTAATCCGCTAAACCATGTTACATCCGCTCAATCTGCCTAGAGGGCTGGTTGGGGAGGGAACCAGGCGCTAATGTGCAGACCAGGCGGAGACCGTGCGAAGAGATTGTGAGGCAGCAAACGCAGCATGACAGCATGTTTCAGTTCCGCGGGCGACCTGTATGCACCGTACCACGGTGACGTTTCCCGAGGCGTCGTCAATCTTCGACCCAGGAATGGTACAGTGGATGTGTGTTCTGCTCTCAGGGCCGAACAACTATGCACCGTACCACGCAGGAGTAGCGCCTGAACGGAATCCAAACATGGTACGGTTCGAAGAAGAGCAATCGGCATACACATACATGTGCGACGTTCCCTGTGGAATTCTTGGCTCTGCGCTGGACTTCCTTCCCGGAAGGCCGAACGTTTGTGTTTGTGCCATTTGGGCGACGTCAGCCGCGTAAGGTCGCTACGTCATCCCGCGTGAGACCCGTTTTTGGATCGTCGCTCATGTGTTGTTCCTCTCACGGTGCATGGGCGCCTGAGATTCCCAGGGTTTCCAAGGGTCTTTCTGGGGTGTGTGTCCCAGGAGGCTGAGCGGCTTCATCTTTCGTCGGAAAGTCTGTGTTTTGGGGGAAAGATCGCCTGCGAAGTTCGTGCTTGTGCCATTAGTTACTCCTCTCGCGGTGCATGGGCGCCCAAGTGCTCGCAGGTTAGTGGCGCAGCCGCACTCCGCCGCGCCCCCCCTGGCCAGGCGGCGCCGCCTTCTGCTCGGCCAAGGGTGGCGTGGGCCACGGCGCGGCCAAAGGCGCGGCCAAGGGCGCGGCGAAGGGGAGCGGCGGCAAGGCTCGCTGGGGGGGAGCTTCAGTAGCAAATATTGGGAGCCGGAGTCGCAAAACGTATTGGTCCCGAGCCTAACAAGCTGGTCACACTCGGGTGCATTCGGGAACATCTTCGGGCGCAGGTGCCTGTGACACTCGGGCAGACTTCTGGGCACAGGTTCGGCCACAGCACCCCTCCTGACACAGACGAGACTACACTTACCAGCCTGAAGCATATCCCAACTCGACAGTCGTTGAAAGTGGGTATGTTTGGGTTCCCAGATCCCAATCTACTTCCAGCGCCTCCCTAATTCAAGAGTCGATCTGCTTCCGCCGTGATTGTTTATCTCTGGGAGGGCCTGAACCCAATATATTCGATCTGCCTTCCTACTTCATGTTTCTACCTTTTTTCTCCGACCGACGTGTATCCTCTCAATTCTTCACGCTTCGCGTATCCCCACCAGCCCATCTCAAAACAGCAACTCTAGCGAAGCATGCCGACAGTCGTGTTTTTCAGGCGTGTTTCCGCCTGCCCCCGCATATCTCCCCTGTTCCTCCTTCCTCCCGCCTCCTTGTACATCCTCCTTGTGGTGGGAGCGGGAGAAGGACGAGGCGGAGGAGGAGGGAGAGAAAGCGCTCCTCGTGGTTTGAGTCGTTCGGGCTTCTCGTCCTGGTGTGAGTCGTTCGGGCCCTTCTTCCTGGTGTGAGTCGTTCGGACTCTTCGTGGTGTGAGTCGTTCGGGCTCTTCGTCCTGGTGTGAGTCGTTCGGGCTTCTCGTGGTGTGAGTTGTTCGGGCCCCTCGTCCTGGTGTGAGTCGTTCGGGCCCCTCCTCCTGCCCGTCCAGAAACGACGCCCAGGCGAGTAGAGGGTCGTCCTGATGGGCTTTTCGGCGTCGTGGGTGCCTCGGGGGGGCCTCTTTGGGCCGTTTGGGATCCTCTTGGGGGCCTCCTGGGGGCCTCTTGGGGCCATTTTGGGGCCTCTTGGTGCCTCCTGGGCGCTTCTTGGGGCCATCTTGGAGGAAATCGATCGAAGAAGAGGGGAGCTTTAATTAGCGCTGCCCCCTCAGAAGGGCAAAATGGGGCCAAAACCTTAGTAAAATCAATGATTTTGGCTTGAAAGAAGAGGGGAGCTTTAATTAGCGCTGCCCCCTCAGAAGGCCAAAATGGGCCAAAACCGCAGTAAAATCAATGATTTTGGCTTCAAAGAAGAGGAGAGCATTTTTTCTCCCCCCCCCGTCGGGGCCAGAATCCTCGTAAGGGGTGTCGTTTTTTAGCCCTCCCAGGAGTCGAGAATGACCCCTCCAACGACCCGCGGAGGGACCTCTCCAGGCCCAGGGGGAGGGGGTAGGGGGAGGGGTAAACCCCTCCCCGAAGGGGAAGAAGGGGGGTTGAGAACAGAGAGAGCTCGCTAAACCACTCACGCCCAAAGGGCTGGTGGGATTTCATCTTCAGCGACATTGGCATCGATGAGCGTCTGGTAATCGATGGGACAGCGCCGATTTGCGACGGTCAGTGTTGACTAGCGTCAATTTAGCGTCGATTCGGCGTCGATTACTGTCGATGAACGTCGATTCGCTTCGAAAAGGTCATGCTGGAAGGATAGGGAACTGTGGGAGGAACGCAGGGACCACCGGAAACCTTGAGATCTTGTGGACTGAGGATTGCGAACAAGAGACCTGAGGGTACTCCAACCCGTGTCTCGCGGTACGATTGCGGATATGAGGTCCGTAATGACGGAGGGAACGCCCTCGCCTGGCATAGGGGTCCCTAGGCCCACGTCACGGGCATGCAACAGGCTTCGACTTCCTGCCCCCCGGCAGCTACTGACCTCCAGTTTCACACGCTTGCGCTTCGACTTTTGCTTTTTATCCAACTAGTGCGACCTCCAGCCAGCACCCAGCCGCAGAAATCCAGCTCCTGACACCAACTCGGCATTCCGGCCTTCAGCTTCCGGCTTGCAGCCATGAAGATGTTCAAGTCATTCAGAGTTGTGCAGGGTTTGCGAGGCTACGGCTGTGGCCTCACGCGCCTTTTCGAAACGGGCACAGGCACACGCGCTTCACCGCATTATCCTGGACATTCGCCTCGCTCGCCTTCTTTGTTCTGACCCTTCTTCCTTTCCTGCCCCTCCTCCCCCTCTCGGCCTCCCTGTCGTCGTCGTCGTCCTCATCCTCCTCCTTCCAGCCATCTTCTCCCTCCCTTCTCCTCCTGTCGTGCTTGCCAGGAGGATGGGGAGGGCGATCAGTATGCAGGCAATGCTGCTGCTGTTGCTGCCTCGCTCGGCATTGCAGTCTGCTTCCATGCTGACATTGCCACCGTAGGCCCACTGGGGACAGTCGGTTGTCGGGGGGAAGCGGAGAGGGAGGAGCGGGGAGCGAGTTGAGGCAAACAAATAGATGACGATGACCAACGTGATCGCGGAAAGAAGTAAGCGTCGATGTCGGTCATCGTCCAGCTTGGTCAACGTCAGTTCTTGGATCATCGTCGCGAATCGGCGGCGGCTTGCATGGACCATGGCAGTTATCGGCGTCCACAAGAACTTGCGGCATTTTGGCCATGGCTTTCGTGCTTCCTCCTTCGAACGAATCATGACACAGCCACACATGTTTGGGTGTGCACCTCTCCTGTCCCTCCGCGGCATCCTGTGCACTTCGGGCCAGCTGGCCCAAATCAGAATGGCCCAAATCAGAATGGCCAGCTGTTCCGTGTCGCTAATCGAACTGCTATCCGCCAGCCGTCGCCGGTCATCTTGTCAGTCGATGCTTCCCGGGGCGGAGGATGAGGAGGAGACGAAGGAGGAGCGCTCACGGAGGTCAAGAGCCAGGGCACCAGCAAGAAGCTCGTTTCGGCCAAGGCGAGGCCGCGCACAGCTTGCTGCGGCAGGAAGAAAGGCATGCTCGAGTTCTCCTGTCGACAGTCCTTGCTATCAAAAGCTGCCTGGAGTTGTTTGCAAGGTGCGTTTCTGTAACGCACTGCGTAAGTACTTTCCAGCTGGGACTGTGTTGCTGGGGCCTGGCCGCTTGGTGCGACTCATACTGGTAACACCTTGTAGCACAGAGGTCGTTCTCGTCGTCGTCCTCCTCATTCGCCTTCACCTCCTCTTCCCACATGTTGGTTTCTTCCTCGTCCTCCTTCCTTTCTTCCTGCTTCTCCTCTTCTTCCTTCTGTACGCCTCCCTCTTTCTCGTCCTCATCATTTCCCTGATATCACTGGACCACTGGTCCTTGACTTTCTCAGCCTTGTCCTCTTCCTCCCCCTCCTGCTTCACCCCCCCCCCTCCCTCTCACCCACCTCCTCCCCCTCCTCGTCTTCCTCCTCCTGCTCCTCCTCGTCGTCCTCCTCCCCCTCCTCTTCCTCCTCCTCCTCCTCATCTTCCCTTGTCGCTCGTCGCTTCACCGAGACGGCGCCGCGCGCCTCGATTCCATCGACCTGCAAGGTAAACTTGCGTTTTATTTTCCGTGCTGCTCAAGGGGGTGATTCCGCGAGGCAGGTTACGTGGCAGCAGTGTGGCGTCGACGAGGAGAAGTGGGCAGGAGAAAACAACGTTACGCTTCCTTCGTGCGGGATGCTGCGACGTGCTGCCCAGCTGGCGCTGTCTGACGTTTTAGCGGCGCTCTGGGCGCTTTTCCTTCGCCTCCTCCTCCGCCTCCTCCGCCTCCTCTTCTTCCTCCTCCTCCTCCTCCTCCATCCCTTCTCCTTCAACATGTCGCTCCCTGTCGCGTACCCAGACGTGTCGATAGGGCGGGCCGTGCGTTTCTCCTGAGACTCCTTCGCCATTTATGCTCCTGGAGCTTGGAATCTGAACTAGCTTCAAGGATGGAGGGCGTGCGGGTGGTTCTCAGAATGTTGATATCGCCTTAGCGCGCCGTGCAGTCGTCGTAATATTCTGCAGCAGTTTCACGGATGGAGGGCCAGTGGTTTTCACAGTGTGATTCACGCATTCGTGCCGCGCGCAGTCGTCTTAAAAGTCTGCAGCCGCTTCGCGGATGGAGGGCGGGTAGTGCTCAAACTGTGTCTCTCGCTGTAACCCCGCGCATAGTCGTCTTAAACGTTTGCAGCAGTTTCACGGATGGAGGGCGGCTGGTTTTTACAGTGTGGTTTTCGCCTTAGCGCCGCTTGCAGTCGTTTTCAGACTTTGTAGCAGTGTTACTGATGCAGGCCATGATGTTTTTCGACATGTAGTTCTCGCCTTAGCACCGCGTGCATTCGTCCGTCTTGAAAGTGTGCAACAGTTTCTTTGATGTAGGCTTGGTGGTTCTCAACATGTGGTTCTCGCTTTAGCGTCGCGCACAGTCTTCTTACAAGCTGGCATCGGTGTCAAGGATTCGTATGGTCAAAGTCCCAGAAATGGCGTTCTGGATCGATTTAGGACTGTCAGACTGCAATCGCCGATACGCGGTGTTGAAGTCCCAGGAGTGGTTTTTGACAGTATTGAAGACTGTCAGGACGCAACAGTCGTGTTGATCCGCGACGTTGAAGTCTCAGGAACGGTGTTTCTGGCACGATTGAGGATTCTCAGACGGTCATCTTCTAATGGGCCACTTCCCGTAATGAAAACTGTTTTTTGAGGGACCTGTTGGGCTTGTGCGCCTCGGGTGTACACCGATCCTCCTCCTCTTCCTCCTCCTCCTCCTCCTCCTCCTCCCTTGCTGCTCGCCGCTTCATCGAGACGGCCTTGCGCGCCTCGATTCAGAGACACCCGACGCTGTGTTTCACTGCCGCAGCGTGGCTCCCCAGAGGCCCGGACCCCCTCTTCCTGGACCGGCTTCTCGTCTCGAGCCCTTGTCTGACGGCCGTGTGGCCCGGCGAGGGCGCCTCAGAGGCGGAGGAACGGGCGGGCAACCTCGCGTCGTGATTTTTTGTCACGACGCGAGGGTGACAGGGCCCCCAGCAAGGACGCCGGCCAATAGCAATTTCGCACCTGCCATGGCTGCCTGCGCGTGCGCGCGACTCGGACCGGGGCGCCGGCTCCCAGCAGTCTGCGCTGCGCGGCGACAGGGTTCCTTCGATTCCCCCCCCCTCCGTCGTCCGCCGCCGCCTTCGAGGCCCGAAGAGGCTCGAGGGCCGAAGAGTGTCGAGGCTGCATCGGGGATCGAGGCCTCGAAGTGGATGATCAAGGGTCGAAGAGGATTGAGGATCCAGGGTCGAGGCTCGAAGAGGATCGAGGCCTCGAACAGGATCGAGGCCTCGAGGAGGGTCGAGGATCGAGGGTCGAAGAGGATCGAAAAGGTCGAGGATCGAGGATCAAGGCCTCGAAGAGTGTCGAGGCCTCGACGACGGCCGAGGCCTCGACGAGGACGGCCGTCGTCCACCGCCGCGCCCGGCGCGCGCAGCCCCGCGCCCCGCCGCCCGGCGGTGGCGCGCCCGGGCTGGAGCCCGCCCCCTGCGCGGCGCCCGCGTGGGAGGCGGGGTCGCTCCTCGCCCCGGCTCCTCTCAGCTGCCTCACTCGGAGGAGGAAGAGGCACAGCCAGACCAAGGTACAAAGGGCGAGGTCGGTTCTTCTGTGTTTGTTTAGATGCTCTCGTGCGCTCTTTGGGGGAGGGTACCTCTTGGATGTTCTGACTGCTTTGGCCGACGGAGGGTCTCGTGTTCTTGGGGGATGGTCTTCTGGTCCAGGTCTGGCTCTACCCCTGCCTCGCTTTCCCAGGGGCAATCGAGGCACTCGTCGCCACCGCTGGATACGCCTCGGAGTCTTGGTCAGGACGCGCTCTGGAAGAGGTCTGGGGAGTATCTGCACTTACCTGCCCGCGCAGTGCAGTTGGTGTGAGTACGCCGGGGTGTGTCTCTACTTGCCAAGCCACCCCACCCAACCCGAAGGTCCCAGACCACCACAAGTTTCGGGTTGGGGGATGTACGGAGGGGTCCATCGTATTGAATCGATGTTCTGAGTGCCCCCCCCCTTTGCGAAATCGCCGAGTCCAACGATGACTTCGGGTTGGGTTGGGGTTGTTTTGGTAGGTGGTTTACAATCGGCGTCGTTGGGGCTTTGGGGGGTCCCACGTTGCGCCAAAGGTTTGACGAGCCCTCGTCGGGGCGCGGCATGGATCTCTGTCGAGGTCCTCGCCCGTCCCCCCCGCCCCCAGGCGCGGGTTGCAGACCACACCTTTTGCAAACCTCACCCTTCGGAGTCGTCAACCTTTCACTTCTGAGGGGGAGGATACCAGACATGCTCGAGACAGTTTATCATCCCCTGGCGATAACGGGCGAGATCGGGTGGGAGGGGGGAGGGAGGGGGCGGGGCGCCGTCGCCGTCTGGGAATGCTTAGGAACGGCTAGTTCCCACACGGCACATGCGCGGATCGCGACGTGACCAGGGAGGGAGGAGTGGAGGGCGAGGCTGGTCACGGGCGTTATCGCGATTTTTCTTGCATGAAATACAGACGGCTCCTCACGTTGTGAAGAATCGCGACAGGAGGTTTTTGGCCCTGTTCGTCGACCTCCCTGGGGCCCTCGCCGGTCCACGGAGCGGTCAAACAATTATTCGGGACGAAAATACCGGCCCAGGGGAAAAGGGTCGGGTTTTTTCGGTCACCCCATCACTCGGTATTTGAAAATTCCGAGCGTCGAATGTCTGGGATCGGAGGCTGCGATAGGTCATAGATAATCATATTTTCGTCCTCTGGCGGTAACGCGTGTGACCAGGTCGAGGGGGAGGGGGCCCGTCACGTCACGAACCGCGCGGGCCTTCCCCCTCTGAAGAAGAGGATCGGTCGTCGACGTTCGATCCATACCCCTGCTGCTGCCCTCCACCCTGGGCGCCAGATGGAGCAGGGCATGTATAAAGAGATCGGCTCCAGAGGCCAGATCTCTATCCAGGTCCATGTGCCATTCTGCCCTCTCGTCAGAGTGGGGCGTGCGCCAGGGCACGGTCAAAGCGTCAGTCGCCGAATCGGCGGCGGCGACAGTCAGAGGAGGAAGGGTATGCCCCGAAGTAAGAACGGCATGAACGTTCACGCTCGGAGGTCCGCGCGGATTTCTTGGGTCGGCGCTGGGGCCCCTCAGCTGCCAGAGAAGCCTGACGGCGGCGCCCCTGGCGCGGGAGAGGCGGGTCCAGGCCCTCCTCGTCTCTGAGAGGAGCGTCGGAGGTGACGAGAGCGACCCCCGCGAGGACGGCGGTCAGCAACGTGGCTCCCCAACACGCAACAGTCACGTCGATCCGCGGCGCTGGCATCTCGGGGACGGCGTTCTGGCAGGATGGAAGAATCTCAGACGGTTGTGGTCCAGGCACTCCTTTCTCTGAGAGGAGGATCGGAGGTGAACCTCGCCGTGCCTGGGGGGCTGCGATCTGTGAAACTGTCGCTACTTTCAAGGGCTGCTGACGGGTCCAGCGGAGTGAGGCACCGCGCAGATCTGAGCAAGACCTCGCCGTGCCTGGGGGGCTGCGATCTGCGACGCTGTCGCCACTTTCGAGGGCTGCTGGTGGGTCCAGCGGGGTGAGGCACCTCGCAGATCTGAGCAAGACCTCGCCGTGCCTGGAGGGCTGCGATCTGCGACGCTGTCGCCGCTTTCGAGGGCTGCTGACGGGTCCAGCGGAGTGAGGCACCGCGCAGATCTGAGCAAGACCTCGCCGTGCTTGGGGGTCTGCGATCTGCGGAACTGTCGCCACTTTCGAGGGCTGCTGGTGGGTCCAGCGGAGTGAGGCACCGCGCAGAGACCTCGCCGTGCCTGGGGCACTGCGATCTGCGAAAGTGTCGCCGCTTTCGAGGGCTGCTGACGGGTCCAGCGGAGTGAGGCACCGCGCAGATCTGAGCAAGACCTCGCAGTGCCTGGGGGGCTGCGATCTGCGGAACTGTCGCCACTTTCGAGGGCTGCTGGTGGGTCCAGCGGAGTGAGGCACCGCGCAGACCTGAGCAAGACCTCCCCGTGCCTGGGGGGCTGCGATCTGCGACGCTGTCGCCAATTTCGAGGGCTGCTGGTGGGTCCAGCGGAGTGAGGCACCGCGCAGATCTGAGCAAGACCTCGCCGTGTCTGGGGCACTGCGATCTGCGACGCTGTCGCCACCTTCGAGGGCTGCTGGTGGGTCCAGCGGAGTGAGGCACCGCGCAGATCTGAGCGGGATCTCGCCGTGCCTGGGGGGCTGCGATCTGCGAAAGTGTCGCCACTTTCGAGGGCTGCTGGTGGGCCCAGCGGAGTGAGGCACCGCGCAGATCTGAGCAAGACCTCGCCGTGCCTGGGGGGCTGCGATCTGCGACGCTGTCGCCACTTTCGAGGGCTGCTGGTGGGTCCAGCGGAGTGAGGCACCGCGCAGATCTGAGCAAGATCTCGCCGTGCCTGGGGCACTGCGATCTGCGACGCTGTCGCCACCTTCGAGGGCTGCTGGTGGGTCCAGCGGAGTGAGGCACCGCGCAGATCTGAGCAAGACCTCGCAGTGCCTGGGGGGCTGCGATCTGCGGAACTGTCGCCGCTTTCGAGGGCTGCTGGTGGATCCAGCGGAGTGAGGCACCGCGCAGATCTGAGCAAGACCTCGCCGTGCCTGGGGGGCTGCGATCTGCGAAACCGTCGCCACTTTCGAGTGCTGCTGGTGGGTCCAGCGGAGTGAGGCACCTCGCAGATCTGCGCAAGACCTCGCCGTGCTTGGGTGGCTGCGATCTGCGAAACTGTCGCCGCATTCGAGGGCTGCTGGTGGGTCCAGCGGAGTGAGGCACCGCGCAGATCTGAGCAAGACCTCGCCGTGCCTGGGGGGCTGCGATCTGCGAAACCGCCGCCACTTTCGAGGGCTGCTGGTGGCTCCAGCGGAGTGAGGCACCGCGCAGATCTGAGCGGGGCCTCGCCGTGCCTGGGGGGCTGCGATCTGCGACGCTGTCGCCACTTTCGAGGGCTGCTGACGGGTCCAGCGGAGTGAGGCACCGCGCAGATCTGAGCAAGACTTCGCCGTGCCTGGGGGGCTGCGATCTGCGGAACTGTCGCCGCTTTCGAGGGCTGCTGGTGGGTCCAGCGGAGTGAGGCACCGCGCAGATCTGAGCGGGATCTCGCCGTGCCTGGGGGGCTGCGATTTGCGAAACCGTCGCCACTTTCGAGGGCTGCTGGTGGGTCCAGCGGAGTGAGGCACCGCGCAGATCTGAGCGGGGCCTCGCCGTGCCTGGGGGGCTGCGATCTGCCGAACTGTCGCCACGTTCGAGGGTGCAAGAGCTGGCGCGCCGGAAAGGCTTTCTCAAGCGAGCGCCGACGCAACAGAATCCAGCATTTGTGCAGATATGCATGGGGTGGAATTTGTTATCAGATCTTACAACATTCATTCATTCATTCATGGATTTTGACACGCGGTTCGAAGCCATATTACATGAGGTCGGGAACACACGCTGGGACGTGTTCTTGTTCACGGAAACTTGGAGGGAATTGAAAGATGAAGTGTTCAATGGCGTAGGTTTCCTTTTGCACCGCAGATGGGGATATACATCCTTCAAAGCAGTGTCTGAGAGAGTGGCGATGCTTACGCTGACAGGGGACGCTTCGAAGTTGAATCTGGTCAGCGTGCACATACCGCATTCGAAATATACAGGCATGGGCGTGGAAGCAGTGTACGAAAGTTTGGACTCGCTGCTGCTCTTTCCGGGTCACTTTATTGTTGCAGGGGACTTCAATGCAGAAGTCGGGCCGCGATCGTTGATTGACGATCAAGAAGCCAATATCTTGGGACCAAACCCGATCAATGCACGGAACCAACGAGGGGAGTGGCTGCTTCACTGGTGTTCCCTCCTCGGTTTCTTCCTCGCCAACACGTTCGATTCAGCTGATCCAGAGCAGCTTTGGACGTATGCCAATGGATTGTTACGGAAACAACTCGACTTCATGATCGTTCCGGCCAGCTGGAAACCGCGAGTGGGGAAGTGCAGAGTTGCGCCGAGCACCGACGCCGGGTCAGACCACCGACCGCTCAGGATGCGCGTGCTTCTCGGTTCAGAGATCGAGAGAAAGTCTCCCGTTTCGAAGTCCGCTTGGGGGCCGGATGTAGATTTGGCCAGCTATTTTTCGTCTTTGGATCAGTTGTTGCAGGAGCAGCTTGCTGTCGCAGGTGGCCCTTCTGAGGCTGCAGTCCGGATCGAAAGTGTCACGCTGGAAGCGGCTGCCTCTGCGCGCCCGCGACCAAAAAAGAAACGGACAACATCCCCAGAAGACGTGGACATCCGCCGTCTCATATCAGAGCGACGTCATTTTCGGCAACTTGCAGATTTAACAACTGGGCAAAAAGCGGCCAAGCGAAAGGCGTTGAGCCACAAGATTAAGAGTCTGATCCGGGAAAAAAAAACAAATCAGAAAGCGGCGAAGATTGAGAACATCCTTGGTGATTTCAAGGGGCTGAGCACGATTGCGAACGCAGGGGCAGCCCCAAACAAAAACATCGCCAAGGTGGTAGATTCTTCTGGAAACGTCAAGGAGTCGAAAGAGGACGTGGCTGAAGTTCTTG